GCATGCAGGTTTACAATCAAAGTATTTATATTTCTTTAAGATCTTTTCCACATAGTGAGATTGATCCAAAGAAATTCCTTGTTCGGATCTCGTGATCTTGATACCCAGGATCACGCTTGCTTCTCTGAGGTCTTTCATATCAAAGTTATTGCATAACAATGATTTCATATCATTAATGGCCTGAATGTTTGATCCAAATATAAGTAGATCGTCTACATATAGACATATGATAGTACAAATGCGATTCTCAGATTTGTAATAGACGCACTTGTCACTTTCATTCACTTTGTACCCATTAATTATCATTAGGTTATCAAACTTTTCATGCCATTGTTTAGGGGCTTGTTTTCGTCCATACAGAGACTTATCTAACTTACAGACCTTGCTTTCTTGTCCTTGGATCACAAACCCTTCTGGTTGTTCCATATAGATTTCTTCTTCTAAGTCACCGTTTAAAAAAACTGTTTTAACATCCATTTGGTGTACTATTAAGTTATAAATGGCTGCTATTGAAATGAGTACCCTAATGGATGTAATTCTAGTGACCGTTTCTCTTTGTCTAAAACCCTTGGCTACAAGGAGAGCCTTGTATTTCTCAATCGTTCCATCAGGTTTTAGTTTCTTATTCAAAACCCATTTACAACCAATTGGTTTGCAACCCGGAGGTAAGTTTACTAAGTGTCAGGTCTTGTTAGATTCTAGAGAATCTATCTCATCATTAATGGCTTCTTGCCATAAGTCTGCATCCATAGATGACAGTGCTTCTTGAAGATTTATTGGATCTTCTTCTACATTATAGGCCGCATAATCGGGCCCATATTCTTTAGCAACTCTTGCTCTTTTACTTCTTCGAAGTTCTGTTTCTACATTGTCGCTGCTTTCAGTGCTTTTTATCACAGGAATGTGACTCGATTGTGTGCCCCCACTATTTCTCGATTTGAAAGGAAATTTGTCTTCAAAGAATTTAACATCGTTTGATTCTGTAATTACTCTGGCATTTAGGTCATAAAACCTGTATGCCTTACTGTTTGCTGCATACCCAATGAATACGCATTCATAGGCTCTACTAGCGACTTTAACTCGTTTCGGATCCGGAATTCTGACATAAGCCAGACAGCCCCAAGTTCTTAAATAAGACAAATTTGGTTGTCTTTTCTTTAATATCTCATAAGGTAAGATCTTACTTTTTGACTTGGGAACTTTATTCAGGACATAGCAAACAGACAATAAAATTTCCCCCCACCAGTGAGGTGCAGCACCAGAATTCAGCATGATTGCAACTACAAGTTCAGTAAGAGTCATATTCTTTCTTTCTGCTTTACCATTCATTTCAGGAGAGTATGGAGCAGTCGTTTCATGTATAATACCATGTTCAGCATAAAAATCATTAAACAAGCTAGAGTCATATTCGATTCCCCTATCACTGCGAAGTCTCTTAATCCTCTTGTTAAATTGATTCTCAATTTCAGTTACATACACCTTAAACATGTCAAGCGCTTCACTTTTATTCTTCATTAGATATACATAAGTATAATCAGAGCAGTCGTCAATAAAAGTGATAAAATAACATTTATTATTTCTAGTTAAACTTCCATCTAATTCACATATATCAGAGTGTATAAGATCTAGGGGGTCAGATTCTTTTATAATTGACTTATGTGAAGTTTTTGTTATTTTAGCTTGACTGCAAAATTCACATTTATTGGAATCATTAACATTTAGTTTAGGGATTAGGCCTATGTTGCTTGCATTAGAAATGATTCTTTTATTAACGTGACAAAGTCTACCATGCCAAATATTAAAGTCATACACAGAGTAAACAGAAGGAGAAATTTTATTCAAATCAACATTCAACTTAAACATGCCATCAGCGGCGTACCCTTTTCCAACAAAAATACCATTCTTAGTGATGGTGTACAAATCTGCCCCTAAATTTTGAATAAACCCAGCCTTATTCAAAAGAAAACCAGAAACAAGATTCTTCCTAATTTCAGGAACATGAATGACGTCCTTCAAGATCAAAGTCTTTCCTGAAGTGAACTTCAGCTCAACATCTCCAATTCCAGCAACATTAGTGGTGTGAGCATCTCCCAACAACACTTTCTTATCTTCAGTATTCATGTATGTCTTGAACATAGCACGATCATAGCAGACATGACGAGTGGCGCCAGTGTCTATCCACCAACCATCACTTCCACCAACCATGTTGATTTCAGTGATCATGGCAATAAGCTGCTCGTCAGTCAGGTTGACCTGAGCATTTGAGCCAGTTGCAGGTTTAGGCATGCTCCTACATTTCTTTGCCATATGGCCCGGTTTCCCACAGTTGTAGCAAGAAAAAACCGGAGCATCATTTCTTTGAGGTGGTTGTTGTTGCTTAGCAAATGGAGCCGATGGGGCCCTAGAGGGATTCCCATTCTTAGTTCGGTTCATAGTATTGCGGTTCTGATTCTTTAAAGGTCTGCCCGTAGGCTTCAGAACCGCACAAAATTTCTTTTTGTTGTTAGACACAACTAAGACTTCTTCTTTCTGATCTTGTTTCCGAGCCTCCTCTTCAATTCGGAGGCGAGTTATCAGACTCTCGATTGAAAATTCTTTTGTTTTGTGACGAAGCACATTTTTGAAATCTTTCCAACCAGGGGGCAGTTTGTCAATAATTACAGCAATTTGAAATTGTTCATTGAGGGGCATACCTTCTGTAATGATATCATGAGCAATCTTCTGAATTTCGTGGCTTTGAGCTTCCACCGACTTCTCATCCACCATCTTGTAGTTCAAGTAGCGGCTGACAGCAAATTTCTTCGCACCTGCTCTTCAGTATCGTATTTTCTTTGCAGAGCCTCCCAAACCTGTTTAGCAGTCCTGTAGCTACTGTAGTAGTCGTACAGATCGTCAGCAAGGCTGTTCAGAATGTGATTTTTGCACAGATAATCATTCTCGTGCCATAAGGCGATTTTTTTTCGGAGCTGTAGATCATCTGCTGCAGCCTTAGCTTTTGCAGCATCAGAGTCAGACATTTTGGAAGTCCCGTCTGAATCTGCAAGTGAGTTACCATTAGGTAGTTCAGATGATGCAGAAGGGACAACCGGGATATCCTCAGTCAGAACGTGGGCAACCTTTTTCAGAGTTAAGAAAAATTTCATCTTAGCTTGCCAACGTTTGAAATTGGAACCCTCAAACCTGAAAGGTTTGTCAGAGACCGAAGCGGCCGCAGTAGTACCGATAATTTCCTCAGTTGTCATGGTAGTTATTAAAACGTCTTAAAATTGTTGTTTTCGAATTTGAAAATTTGAGTTTGGCAAAAGGAAATTATCGGGACGAGTCGCGTACTAGGTCGCTTTCTTTAAGACGTTTCGTCGTACTGCCAAATTATGCAAAGCAGTCGAATTACGACGACGCCTCCAGGATAAAACAGCCCGTTCAAATTACGATTATCAGTTGCACACTGATAAATCGCTCTAGAAATACACCTGTCTAAGTATCTGGTAAAAATGACCAGTTAAGAAAAGAAAGTTTTTGAGATGAAGAGAAATAAGGAAGAGAAGAGGGAAATCAAAATTCATATGAATTTGTGAAATCCAATGTACCCACTTCTGAATTTCTACCCTGTATTTATAGGCAGCAAACTGCACCTGAGTGGGGAGAAATTCGTGGTGAGTGGAGAAAATGGTGGGAGAATGAGAAATTCGTGGAGGACTGGATCTGGCAGTTACTGACCAATTATTTTCTTAATTAATTAATATTTATTATTAATTAATTTTCCAACGAATTATATTAATTAATTAATGATAATTAAATTATATAAATTCGGGTCCAAAAAATAATTCATCTAGACCGGACCGAGCCGGACGGAAGGCGGCGCATGTCTTGTTGGTCATGTGTGTGTCCTCACTCCTTTCACAAAATTGAATGCCCTTTAGGGCCCAACCCAATAGACAAAGTTGAAATATATAAACACTACTAATATTTCAATTCCCTTCAATGTGGAACTAAAATAAATCTTTTTAAATTCACTTCTATATTAGTTCTCACTTGTGTTCATTTATTGCTCATTAATTGTCAACAAATGTTTCCAATTCTCACTCTAATTAATTAAAGTTCCACCATTAATTAATTAAAGTTCCAACATGAAATCTAGGCTAACCCTTCCATAAATTGGAAAAAGAAAAACCGAAATTTCCTTTTCCCCTCCATTCAAGGAGATAACACCACAGTCAGCAAAACACAAATCACTTTCCCTATTAAACTTTGATCAATCAATCATTGACGTAAAAGACAAGTTGCTTGCGATGGCCAAACTAGATAATTAGTTAGTAGTTGGCGTTTTCCATCAAACCAATCAGCCAAAGGTGGTTCAAGCTGTACACACATGGCACATCTCACCACTCCCCGCCAAAAAGTCGTTCTCATCACTCATAATGAGAAACTTCATTAGTAAACGTCCAAAAACCCCAAACACTTTACTTAAGACCTAAGATAATATTTGTATATGACATAATAATGATAAGAGCACTGAGTTGGCATATACACAATATTAAATTCCTGGTCTTTGATGTATACAGATAAATAAATATATACTTTTTCAATCAACAAAAGAATAATGATAACACATAATTTTCATATACTATATAGAGAGAGAGAAGAAATCTCAAAAGGTAGAAGGAAAATAAAAGAAGCTAAACACAGAATAAGCCACTGAGACAACTCTAATCTTCCAAAAATTAATGAATTCGAAATAATAGTCAACTACCTTTTGTAAATAGGTTTATGTTATACTCATGCCTCACTTCGGAGTTGAAAGAATATACCAGTAGCACCAAACTTTTGGACAATGTTCCAAGTGTGGCGTAAGACAGCCACCTGGAAGTAAAGCTCAGCTCAATCGACAACGCCGATAAATTACCTGCTGGGCAAGGTTGTACTAAATACAAGGAAGAACCAGACAGTTAAGCAGAATGCATCTCCCAGCTTGCAATTCCATTAACTGGTTTGCAATGTTGTTAAAGTTTCTTAGGGAGATCATATGTCTTTTTAAGAAACTTGGAAGCTGATTCATCATTTCTATGGCATAAAACACGTAATAATGTATTTGGTTCAGTTGGACTCCACTGTCCAGAAGTTGGAGGTAATGGAATTCTAGACCTGGCTGAAGACTTATATGTCTCAAGTGTTAACCTTCTAAACTGCTCAATGAGGCTCTCAGTGTCTGTCCTGAAAAGGGGAAGGATAGACCTCAGGGTAGTTGCGAACTTGTCTATTATTTCAGAAGGCAGGCCGTCCCCATTCGCCCAAAACAACTCCTTTAGAAACTTGAAATCATCTTCTATGATCTGCGAGTCCTTCTTGGAAAAGGTACGAGAGGGGCCTCCGGCGAGCAATACAAACAAGAATCCATCAAAGGAAGCTCTCATTATTTCAGTAATAATACGGGTGCGAATTTTTTCATTAACATTGTCTGAAATGAACATTAAATTCCGCTCAAGTTCCTGAAGAAATGGATCAATCCTGGAAGATGATGGATCCCCAACATACAGACCATCCCACAAAACATGGCTTAGATCATGGAATACAATTCTATATGCTGCAGCCTCACAGAGTTGCTGAATTCCTTCAAGACATGCCGCTGAAGATAGTTCAAACTTACTTGCTAATCCATTTGAAAAATCTTCTTCTCGGGCAGATTCTGAGTTCCGTAGAAGAGTAATTATTCGTTTTTCCAGAACATCAAATTCACCCAGGATCCACTGCAAAGTATTCATGCGAACACAGAGCTGTGGTATCCCAAAAGAGCTATCCCCATTTGTTGCAACCTGAGAGTTTCTCTTCTGAGGATTTGGAGATTTCTCCTTTTTCTTCCCAAAGCCTTGAAATTTTGAGCCAATAGTGCATCTCGTCAGTGCCGGCATTGTTGGAATAAATGTATTTCGTGATCCTGAATATCAGAATAAAAAAATCAGTTGTTAAAGACGCCACATATACAATTATTAAAGATACCATATATATAAGAGCTAAACTATTCAATTTCAACATCATTTACCACAGCCAGATTTTGACTTAGCAACATAATATTGAAGGCATCTATCAAGGCCGTGCATCACATCAGGAAGCAATGCAGGATGCATTGGTATTGGAAGCTGAAAGAATGCATCTAGAGTCTCGTTTATGATTCGCAGAACTTCAACAGAAGACGGGGCGTATCCTTCCTGATTTGCTTGTGGACTCCAAAGCTAGGATATCACAGTAAACTAAGTTAGTTCCACACAAAGGCAATCAACCGACGTGTATGACCAGATTGCAAAGAAATTAAGTCAGAATGAAAATCGTCAATGGGCAACAAAAGAAAAGATGATGAATGCAAACCTCTTGCTGAAGATTTCTATCAACCCAGTCTTTTAGTCTGTCTATTCTAGTCTTAATCCATATTTTTACAAGATTGGCAATTGCACCTTCAGCCTCGTAAGGAGGCATCTCACGGATTACTGCTTTGCCACCATCATCACTGTCTACTGAATCCTCAACAGCTATCTGCACAAGGTCTTTCTCCAACTGGTCTGCTGCTCTTAACACCTGAACAGCATCTGGGGTCAATTCTGTGATACCGGCAATGAATTGCTTCATTTCGTTTCCATAGCATGCATGAAGGGTAGCCACAGCAAGACCTGCTGCCAAAGGATGCCATCTCTTGAGTATCGGGCTGAACACTAGCTTTTCATTCATTGCCAGGCTGCCTACATCCTTTGCAAGAATGGCAAGGAGAGGGAGAGCATTTGGCTGGTTTCTCGATGCCCTCCTGCTTGAGTCTGCTTTCTCCATTATCTATGCAGCAGCAAAAAACAAACATATTTCAGCACATATAGATGAAGAATTCGACCCAAGCATATAGACCTAGAAATTTGTTTAGCATGTTTGAATATGCAATGTCTAGTATTTCCACTTACAGCAAACTGACTCACCCGTGGTTGTAGTTTGTTTAGTAACATGATTTCACAATGCTTTTATTAGTAAAACTGGACATGGCTACATGCACTATATTGTGAACAACTAAACAGAATGTCAAGAGATATTTAAAACATGAAGTGAAAAACAAATTCCAACTCTCTCGAATTAAGCACTATTACCATACCAGGAGATGATAACTCTCAAGTTTACCACCTTTTACTAAAGAGTAATAAAAGAAATGAAAGACAGTATGAACTTACCTGGGCAAAGGCAGTACGTAGAGATGACCTTATGTAAGTTTCAATTCTTTCCCGAGCCACGTTGACTTCAGTTTTTCTCCTCCTGCGATACTCATTAGATATGTCTTCAAGCAATATCTTAGCCGCTGCTACCCCTAAAGAGACTATGCCCTCCATAGTTTCAACGTTACCACTATCAAAAGTTTCATGGTATGCAAGAAGCCTTTTCTCTGCCCATCCCAATATCGAAGTCAACGTCGAACTCAAAATTTTGGAATACTCAGAATCTTTTGTTGTCTTTGCATCTTTTGCAACTTCAGCTAGATGGCCATCAGCATCAGACAGAAGCTCCAAATCCATCTGTCCAGTAGCAACAAATCGATGAAATAAAACCCAAGTAAAACAGAGATTATGATATGTCTGGTTTAATCCAAGTATTCCCCAAGTCTTCTTAATTTGTTCCATTAGCTCATCAAAATCATCAATAATTGATGATTCATCATTAACATCAAAACAAGATTGTAGAAGCATTTCATAAAGCCTAAGATTCAAAGGAATCCCATCTGCCCAGTGGCATGAATCAGTGAGAGATCCATCGTATGACCTATTTGCAAGAGTCATAACAGCACTACGAAGAACCTGCATGGACTCATTATTCTTCCCAGTTTCAATGGGCCTATCCAAAGCACCATGAACTATCTGCCGTAGCCTCTGCCCAGCAGAGTTGGATTTATCCAAAGGTATATAAGGATGCAAAATTAAACCAGCCTCCAGAACCTTGAGTGTCCTCTTCTGCCATTCATCATACTCCTGTTGATCAGTAAAATCCGAAGCCTTGAGCTGCTGCATTAGCTCAAGTGGAACCACCACAGACTCAATCCTTCTTCCAACCTGCAAATAAAGTTCACACAAGTTAACAAAAAGCATAACCATGATTTCTTTCCCGTTCCAATTCCAACATGAATCATTCACAGAAACAAGGAACGAGCATTTAACAAACACCTCATGAAAAATCCAGTCAATGACATTACAACAAACACTATAGTTGCATCAAAGTGACAATACAGTAATCAGCTCAAAGAATTTGACGAATCCAAAAAACAGATCAAATAATCACTCACATGAATCCAATTATTCAATATTGAATTCAAACAGTAAAAAAAACAGCTACTAAATCCGGATCAATACACGCATTGCAACACACACAAAATTCAAACAATTGAAAGCGACCTGTCCAGCAGAAATCCTGAGCAACGCACGTCTAACACGCGAATCCATAGCTTCGGAAACCCTCATCTGATTCCTCATAAGCTCCCCAACCGTCACCGGCCGTTTCACTTTCCCCAAACCCGAACCAGAACCCGAACCAGGACTCTTCTTAGAACCCGAACCAGGAGATTTCAATCCAAAAGCCTTCTTAACCTTACTAGCCGCCGTAGAAGTAAGCGATCGCTGAACACCTACCGAGTTCTGACTCGGCGAGACAGAATGACTATTCGAAGCCGAGTTAGCAATAGACGAACTCAGCGGCTTACCTGAGGAAGTCCGGCACGCGGCGACGAAGATCTCGTAGGCAGTTAGGGCGAGTTCCGAATCGGAGAGGTTGGTGGAAAGTTGACCGAGCGGAGAGGGAAGATCGTCGGCGGGGAGGGTAGGTGGTTTCTTCGGAGGCATTATCTTTAAAGGCGGTGACGGAGTTGTTTCTCTCTTGGAATGGCCTAACGATAGGTCTCTGAAGAGTTGAGCCATTAGAGAGAGAATTGAAAAAGAAAAAGAAAAAGAAGAAAAGAAGAATGGAGGAAGAGAAAGAGTCAAGACTATGGACTATTACTACCATACATAATAGATACACGGTAAAACTGTTGACATCGGATAGAGACACTGCTTATTCTTTATTCATTTATTTATTTATTTATCTCTCATTTTACTTTTTCAACTATTTTTTTTTATTTGTTACGATTATTAATTTATTTATTTGAATATTATTATTAGCCATCTCCTTTTGACTTTCTATGCAAAATTCAAATCTATCTCGTCACGTGGACGAAAATAATTCAGAGTTTGATTGGGTAAATTTGATTAATAGCATTTTTACATTTTATTAATGGATCAAGTTTTTATTTAAAAAATACATATATCATAATTATTGTGCCGTGATAATTTTTTTTTATAAAATATATGTGTCCCAAAATAATTGTTATTTTTAGATTTTTAATATAATATAAATTATTAATAGAGAGTTTAATTATTAATGGAGAATTTAATTATTATGTAAAAGAGTAAAAACATTTTTATATAATATATTGTTTATTATCAAAGATAATAATATAGTTTTGACATAATGACAGATATTCATGAGCGTGATTTTTAACCTAACGATTATGATATACTGATACTTTAAAAAAAAACTATACTACACCTTTGTATTAATATGAATTTAATATAAAAAAAACTATACTACACCTTTGTATTAATATGAATTTATTATAAAATAAAAACTATACTACACCTTTGTATTAATATAAATTTATTAGCTCTTTTTTAAGAGATAGTTTACTGGAAGTAATATAGCTGTCAAAATGGGTTATCCAATCTTAAATAAATTGGTTTTGATGGGTTCTAGTTTTTTGAATTGGATCTCAGATAGACTTTGGACTACCTGACCCTAAATAAAATTTTTTTAACTAAAAAGTTAAAATAAAATGTCATAATATTTATTATAAATAAAATTAAAATTATATTATCTTAAAAATAATACATTTTAAGTAATATATTATCTTTTATAAATACTATAATATGTTTTTAAATACAATACATGTCTAAATTGTATAAAATTGTTCTGAACTGGGCCCGGGGTTGACCCACTGTCGGGCACGGCCCAAACCAAGCAAGCGTCGAGGAGGGCCCAACGCATAGGCACAATCTTCCATAGCAGTTGGAGGTCATGCGTCCATGCGTTCCTCGCATGTTTTCCACGCACTCCCCACACAGAGACACGTCACCAGCTGAACCCACGTCCGAGAGAACAGGTCCCTCCACTCCACGGAATTCGTGGGGCAGTTGACCCAGGACGAAGACCACATGCAGGTCTTCCCTACTTCCACGTAGGATCCTGGAAGTCATCTGTTATGGGTCTTGCGGTTCAGCGCAAAGCAGACGACCATTGATCCGGCGCGGGGGGCACATTATAAATACCCTCCTCCACAAGAGGGTCAGGTATTCTAATTCATACTCACTTTTTGTATTTGCTCCTTCTTTTCGCTCTAAACCTCACTTTGTCATCGGAGTGCCTTGCAGGTACACCTTATTCCTCTTCTCCACCACCGATGAACTTGAAGCTCACGATGTGTTGCTGGTTGTTGATCGTCTTTCTGATCTGGAAAGATCAGCGGCGCCGTCTGTGGAAATCTTTTGCTCCCCCGTCTTTTATTTTTCCGAAATCAAAATACCAAAGTAAACATTCAACCTCCTTCGATCATGATCAATCAACACACTGACGATAACGTCCATGAAGCTGCCTTCACCACCTTCATTGTCGGCAACGACCACGACAACAATGTGACGGTCGTTGCTGAAGAGGGTGACCATAGGGGCGGACTCACCGCCTCTCCCTTCTCCGACAATGCGACCTACAACGCTGCCCAGCGTTTCGAGAGTTTGGCGGTTTTCCAACCAATTATCGTGCCGCCCAACATTGATCCAACTACGATTGCTTTGTTCGCGACAATCAACCATACGAACCTGATGATTTTCCAACATAATGAACAGATTTGAATGTTGGAGAAAGAACGACAATTGCGCTCTCCCCCGAGGAGACATCGGCTCTCGTCCCCGCAGCGACGAGAAACCCGTCCACACTCTCCCCCGCGGAGACACCAACGGGATGAGTCTCAAAGCTTCTCACCACGACAAACCAGACGTCAGTCGCGGCTAGAGAGGCCACAAGTAGCGATCACCCAAAAACGGGATCGCACTTCTCTCTGCAAAGAGAGGCGCTCCCCGAATCCCAAATGGAGCAAAGTCGGTGGGCAGTTGGAGAAGTCAAAGGGTCAACCAAGGAACTCGATGCGCCACGGCAGAAGCCCCTAGCACGACCGCTCCCCGTCGCACTCACCAGTCCGAAGAGACAAAGACGAACCCTGCGGTCCATTGTCCTGGGCAATTATGGAAACCCCTATTCCTGTCGGGATGGAAAAGCCACCAAGCTTGGCGACCTATGATGGCACCACAGACCCGGACAATCACATCGAAAACATCGATGTGATGCTTGACTACTACAAGGTCTAAGGCCCCATCAAATACAGATTCTCGCCCCGGAGTCCACCATCCCCTGGAAGCACTTGAAAACAAAGTTAACCAGGCATTTCACTGCTTCTCGGTGACACCCAAAATCTGAGGCGTCGCTCCAGGCCATCACTCAGGGGAAGGACGAGTCTCTTAGAGCCTACATAGAAAGGTTCAACCGAGAGGCCGTCTAGATCTCCATAATTGACCAGATAAAGAGATACCTGCTCGAGCGAGGGTTGCATCCCCGCAACGACTTTTCCAAAGCGGTGGGCATTAAAATGCCTCACTCGCTGGACGACCTTCTCCTTAAAGCCCAGACATACATCCAATACGAGAAGAGAGAGGCCGCCAACTATTCTCGCGACTCACAGAACCAGAAGGGCACCAAAGCCGCGAAGTATGAAGACCCTGTGGCTCCTCGATGTGGCGGGGAGAAAAGAAGAGATGATAAGTGTCGCTACTGCGAAAATCAGCACCGACTGAACAGAAGAGTCTCCACCGTGCGTTATTTATCCCAACGGAGGGAAAGGAAACGCTCGAAGTAAACCTACCTCAAAGACGGGAAAGGAATGGTCATCGCAACCAAATCCTGGATTCGGGAGTCGGTTACGCAAGGGGAAGGTATTAGCACCCCTCACGTCCGTCGTGCTCGACGGGATCCACGCTTGTTTTCTAGTACGGATTGTTATTCTATCTATCTACAGGTCTGGGGTTAAAAGAAAATAAAATGACTCGGCAAAGCATCGCACATTATGCCTACGTATTCCAGTCTGGAACGAGAAATCAGAGTCAACGTAGTTCGCCTACCTACGGGAAAGGAGGGGAAGGTTGCTCGCTAGGATATCGCATCCTATGCCTACGTACTTTCATACAGCATGAAAGATCAGAGCAAACGTAGTTCGAGCCACGTACGACGCAATTTTGTTTGACTGTTTTTTTTTATCCTTCTGAAAAAGGTTTTCTCCTGATTATGGGTCCAAGCGGACAAAAATGACCCTTTGATTGGTTTACAGTCTTTTACGCAAGAACTGCTTTTTATTGATGTTTAACCTTTTATTGTGTTTTTGATTGTTTTGAGAAAGAAGAGAAAGAACTCTAACCTAGGGTTAAAATGGGAATCAAAATCTACCCTAATGTTGGCATGCATGGATGAGAACCTAATGTCTGTCATATTTCTCTCCTGCGCAGAGAGAAACAGAGATCCTAAGGGGATAAACGGAAAAGCAACAACATATATACAGTAAAGCAGTAAAATGCATGAATGCAGCAGTACAAGCGAGGCAAGGGAGTCCCACTCGACCTCGAACCTAGAAAACAATGGGCAAAGTGAAACGACTTCACCTCAACCCTATGGGAAAATTAACAAACAATACAGTAAAGAAAATAAAACCCCCAAAAACCCAGCCCTGACAGCACTCTAGCTCCAGTTGAACTTCCAAAATCAAACTCCAATGGTACCCCAAGTTACAACAAGCTTCTATCTCCAAGAAATCACTCAGCTCAAGCAAGCACAGAACCTTACCTAGTTGACAGCATCAGACAGCAGATAGCTCTAGACAGCAGTAAACCCTAGCTTTAACAGTTGCACAGCTTTGACATGAACAATCTTTGATCTTCATCTCTACCTTCAATGGCTTCTTTCTTCAAGGCAAGCTCTCCAGCAAAGAATTGATTTTATCAGAAGAAATTGAATGTCAAACAGTTCATTGACGACCAAAGGAAGCCTATAAACAGTTGACATTGTAACAGACTGTTTCCCTCAAAGTTCTACCTCCTAGATAAAACCACTTATCCCTCCTAAGGAGGGAGGTGAATATCATAGAGGGACCTTATGTCATAGAGAGGAATGGAAGCAAAGGAAGCTATCCATGTTTATGAAAGAATTTGTTCTATTCTAAGGCTCTGCCTCTTTTCTCCTATTTCTCCTAAGTCTTCAATCAGCTCCAAGCTCAAGCAATCTTCAAGCTTCAACATTTGATTATTATCCTCAATCTTCTCCTTTGATGTCTTCATGCTCCACATAAGCTCAAACCAAGCCCACACCCCAAATAAAAACCCAAAAGCCCAAGCAAGCAATATAAACCCCAAGTGGGAACACCAAACAATCACCCAATTTGCAAAATATACTAAAAATAGTAAAATAGCATTTAAAATTCTAAGATTTATTCTAAGGGGATTTCTATATCTACCTTGCATACCCTATATGTCCCATACCCTAATTCATGCTAAAAAGCCCAAAATAAAATGGTAGAATGCACCTATGTTGAGTTTGAACCCTAATTATACTACCCTGATGTTTTCTAATCAAAACTAATCAAAATTTAACCACAAAAATGTGAAATAAATCCCTAAAGGAACTTAATGCTCTAATCTAGCTACCACAAAAAGAATGGGATCAAAATACGAATTTAAATGCCTAAACAAAATTCAACAAGATGTATGTACAAACAAAGTAAAAATAA